GTATAGGATATTTCAGGTGAACCTTCAACACGTCGTTTTAATGTCCAATTTGATACATCAACATCTTTATCCATAGAACTATTTTCTAATGTTATACATTTACCATCAGGTGCACAGTCTTCTGCAATAAATAAATAAATTATATAGAATTTTCGATATTAAAAAAAATTTAAGTCATTATTTAGGCTTGTTCATACCAGGTGATATTATTGTTTTGTGAGTTTCTATATTAAAAATTCAATTAGAACTTTTTTTTTTACATAAGATAATCTAGTCCAATTATTTAAACGACTATTGTTTCTTATGTAACATTCACATAACTTTCTTTAATTGTTGGGGAAAGTATACTTAGTAACCACAATGATAGACAGTAAAGTTGAAATTTTGCCGTAGGCGACATTATATATATAGACTGAGAATGTGAGTCGTTATAATCACATTCGTATAGATTAGTAAACAACATTTTGTCATTTAGACATATTTTTATTGCTCAAAACCATCTTTGATCGCATTTGTATGACGTTTTAAAATAGAAAATCATTGACCTTCTAAAATGGTAGATCAGATGACATTTTCGAAGGTTAATAAAGTGCTATTTTGAGCCTCAGAACATCTTTTAAATATGAAAAAAATGATGAAATATTGTTATCAGAGTAATGTCTTGTCAAATTAATGATAAATGAGGTACTTTATATATAAATGTTTACTATCAATCAATTACTACCCTTCAAGAAAATAGAACATGACTGCGATCTCTAAGGAAAATCCTAGGCTTACACTAGTAAAAGTAAACTGAAATACGTACTGATAGCAATTGGTCCTTTTTTAATTTTTTTATTAAAAACTTTTCCAAGTTCACTACCAAATGAAGGTGGTGTTGGTTCAGGTGATAGAATTTGTTCAACAGGTTGTTGTGTAAGTCTATTCGTTTCACTATCTAATAATCGTCTATATATATTTATTTCTGATTCAAGTGTTATATTGCTAAAAAAATGAATAAATAAAATTTATTTAAAAAAAACATTTTTTGTTTTTTACCTTTGTAAAATAGTATCAATTTCTCCCGATAAGTGTTGT